GATGCACTACAGCTTTTAGTTGAATTCTCTTCTTTGCCTAATGTCATTTTTTTATGCAACCTTAATTGGAACAAAATGTTTATAACAAATATTTATTCAGAATTCAGTGATTAAATAGGCAAATTTAATTTTGCTGTCATTATTTTTTCCTAAGTAATCAATGCAGATGTGACTTAATGACAAAGTCTAATTGAGTACATTCATTTTGTGAAAAGAAAATTAAAAGGAGAAAATTCACTTTTCAAATTAGAAGTAATGATGGAGGAACAGGACAATTCCTGGGGATTAATGACTGTCTGAGAAAGCTGAAGGCTTAAGGCTTAGCTGTGGGCTGTTAACCTCGGGTGGTCATTAATTCTTCAAGTAATGCTTTATGCTCTTGTCATTATTGCAACTGAACAGTGATGTAGTAGCAAGTTTCAAGAATTAAGTCACTGGCAGTATTTTTAAATGCATATTTTCCCTTTTCCTRTGTTTCCTACTTTCCTCCTTTTTCCTACTTTGTCTTGAGACTATCAAATGTTTGATAGTATCCAGTAAGATCTTCTGTATCCAGTCAAATGTTTTTCTTTATTTGTAAGTTTTGTCATTGTGGATGTGTCAAATTATGTGGTTGCATTTGCTGAGTTGTGCATTGCTGTCCAGCTAGCTTATGCCACACACACTTGAAATAGATGACCGAATAGCTACTCTGACAGCCTTGAAACTGAGACTCTTGTTCTCTGTCCTTATTGGTACTATAATACACATTGYTGGCTTGACTTTGTTCACAGTTACTTTGCAGGTAGTGCCCTCTTGTCTCTAGCATGCTAATACTGATTTCCCCACCTTGCCGCCATCAGACATGTAGCTAAGTGGTATTTTGCCATGTCTTTCGAAGCTGATGCATGGCCTCATTAAGCAATGGGCAAGTAAGACAGAATGCACTACAAATTAAAGCTGGAACTTGTTAAAAACRGTAAAACACCTGAACACTGTATAACTTTTGAGGTTGCCTCGATAACCGTGAAATCACACAGGTTACCTCTTTTGCAGTCTAGCACTGTGTAGTTCTCTGATTCCTGTGTTTTGGTGGTGTTTTTTTTTGTTTTGTTTTGTTTTTGATTTCCTTTGGTGGCAGATCAAGGGCAATACAATTCTGTTGTGTGTTTCAGCTGCCGTGTATCCCTTCCTGGCAAGAGAGCATTTTCCCTAAAAGGAATGTGCACTTTTTGGAGTCCTGTGTGTGTGTTCAGTGCAGAACTGGCACAATTCTTTCTTACAGCATTAAAAATCCATTAGCATTTAGAAAGTCCTATAAAAGCTGTCTCTGGATTGGTATAGCTTTCTTTGAGTAGGGAAATCTGATGATCAGCATACAGATCTATTTTCAGTTCAGTGAGAGTTTAGAAGATCTTGTGGTACTGTTGATTTGAAATCTAAATGGTTATCTGATACTGTAACACTATGATAATTTTTTTCTACATCCAAGCATTGCATAGATACAGACCACATTTTTGATTCCTTTGTAAATGGATCAGAAACACTGGTTTAAATGCCTCAAAATACTTATTTTTCAACTTTTCAGCCTGTAATGAATGGCAGGTAGCAGATCACAGAATGTAATCCCAAAATCAACGTTTTCCCAACCTGAGAAAACAGATTTATGAAGTCTATAGAGCTACATCTGTCTCAATAAAACGTTAAATCGATGTCCGCAAAGAAACAAGCGCATTCAGGGTGAGCCGGCTCCTACAGTGACCAAGGACTTCTGGTAACATKCTAAACACCGAAGCCATCGCAACAGTGTCTTCATGAACAGGGGTAGCACATATGGCACGTTCTTCAGTGTCATATGGAAACTGTAAGATAGGCTGATTTAAGGTGCAACCTGTACATGAATGTATGCCCTGCAGATTGGAAACAAAAAACGTGTTATGTTTCTGTTTTTACCTAACACTGAGTTTTATCAAATATTAGGGTCATTTACATTAATGCAAAAGAATATAATAGAATAAATTGTTTTCAAAATAATATAAATCAATAAAACTCTAGGGCAGCTTTGATTATTTAAGTTGATTATAATAGTTAAATGTTGACAGTATAATGTATTCACCAATTATTCTAACAAATAATACATCTTTTGTTGCAGTTCTCTTCTTGTCAAAGTAATATTTTGTATTTTAAAATAATCTCTACTGAAATACACATTTATGTTGTCATGTTCCATAGCTGCTGCAAGGGGAGAAAAATTGGACACTTGTCCCATTTACCAGTCTATCAGCATGTTGGTAAACCTTTTCTTACAGGACATAAACATTAATGGCAGCAAAGCTGAAATTATGGCTGCTGGTTTCTCCTCTGTCTCTGTGATCCCTCCTTGCCCCATATCATTCATAACATTTGGAAGTCTGAATTTCTTAAATTTCTTCYTGATCCAGTATTCAACAGCATTCTTCTCCTTATGACATTCTGTTGTAGTCATTAATGGGAAGATACTGGGTTATAGTGTTGTGATTCTAGCCTATTGGACTTGGAGGCAAGGGGAAGAATCCCATGTGTGAATCTGTTGCAACAAAAGCCTGATTCACAAGAAAAACTGAGCCTGCACTGTAAACTCCATTATTTTTCATTGGTATTTTCAAAGATTTTCGTCTTGTATCCCCATTTTATCTAGTTCACGTGGTAAGCATAGAGGGAAAACCATTTAGAGCACAGATGTTAATTTTCCTTTCTCATCTGAGGCTCTAGAGTAAATAACAAGGTACTCAATACATTAGGTTTTGTGGTGGAGTTCAAGTAAAGCATGAAGTTTCATGAAGTGGTCCCTTGAATGGTGGTGAGAAGAACTGTTTGCAGATCACTCTGCAATACTATTGATTTCTAATTCTGGATCTTTGGTTTGCACTTGATTTATGACAGCTCWGGTAGTTTCTCATAGGATATAAATATATTAAACAGTTTTAGAAATGATCACTCTTTAGTCCTGAATGAATTTCAGAGTGGATCTTCCTTGGTAAAATCTCATTTACCAAAACATTTTTCAGTCATGAAAAGGTTTGATTTGTATACATTCAAATTGTGTGCTAGATTGACCCGTGGGGGTATTTTCTTTTTTTGCACAACTGAAGAAATTGAATGGAGCCTCCTCAGCCCAGTGCTATCAATTTCATCTCTTGATTCCAGGGAGAAGAAATGATTGGAAATCACTGGGGTTTTATTTGTTTGTTTGTTTGTTGTTGTTGTTTGTTGTTTTTTATTATTATTAAATTCATTTTTTTTCTTTTTTTCTTTTTGCATAAATGAGGAGGCATATGTATGGTCATAATGCCTCCCTTCACGGGGAGGCATATGTATGGTCAAAAATCAGCATATCATCTGACATACAGAAAAATCTTAATTCTAGCTCTAATGGATGCTTTTCTTGCTATGATTGAGTGTGGTAAATAGGCAAGTATATCTGTGCATTTGTGTTTAACTGTATGCTTATATGTTTACATTTATATCTGTACATTTATTTTTTTTTACCAGCTAGAGGGAAACTCGTGATATTCTGTATAAATTAATGAAGCATTTATTTTATACTTTGTATGATAATTTAAAAGTAAATTAATTTATTAAAAGTAAATAAAACATAAATGAAATTTATGACTTCAATTACAAAGTAACCAAGTATAATCCAATATTATACTTTTAATTATAAAAACAAAGGAAGAAAGTATTACTACTTGTGTTCATCAGTCTTTGAGTGTAGAAAAAGAGTTTGACTTTCAAAAGTATCCACAAAATATAGGGTTTGATCAATGATCGTTATTGCACCAATTATTTAACTCCGCCAGGGAGCACATGCAAGCCAAACTTTGAGTAAAGGTGCATTCTAATGTGTCTCTCTTGCAGATTTATACACTGTTTTCTTTTATGAAGAGCCCATACACACAACAGAGCCTTTCAGAAGACTGACTTTGCTTTTCTCCCCAGCATTCATTGTTACAAACTTACCATGCATTACAGCTTTCACTGTAAGAAAAAAAAAAAAAAAAAAAAAAAAACCATGATTCTTGGCTATTGTCTTGCTCGTAAGTCTGCCAGAATTAGTAAAAAGTCCATTGTTAATTTAAGTCAGCCTGAATTGATCTGTATCACTCTAGACATTCAGCAGCTTTTGAGGATTAGTGTGTCAGACTTAATTTACAACTGGGACAATATGGCTGATACAAATTTACTGGGTATAGGTGAAGTGATAAATATATAAGAGAACCTAGGAGCTTTCAAATATATGGTATAATATGTAACCAGTAAAGTCAAGGAATCCAGCTGCTGCCTCTACGAGGACACAGAAGTTGGTTTTAATCTTCTTAGCTTGGCATAACAGTAAAAGCTGCAGAAACATTGGCTGAAGGAGCTCTGAACAAATGTTTTCATGGTGCTAAGGGCCACTTTGTTCTATTGTGACTACTATTGGCAGCTAGGTTAAAAAGTAGCTTATTTTTATCAACTAGTCATCAGAAATCTCAAAACAGGAAGGCCTTGATCTGCATAAAGATGTTGCTGTAGTAAAGCTATAACTTTAAAGTAAAACACTAAGTAGTATTATCTAAATTTAGACTACTGATGTCTAAATTACTTGTTTTTAGGATTAGTATAAAAATTGACTGTGTGAGTTAAGCTATGTTTGGCTTTTGTGTTTTAACAGAAAAAAATGAGAAAAGCAAARTGTGAAAGATTATTTCTGAAAGCATGCAAATGCAAGCTATAAAAAAATCCTAGAAAGATTTGATGAAATTACTTCGTATAAATGCGGAAAGCGACTTAAATAAGGGATTGGGAGTAATGCTGTGTGGTCTTCTATCTGGCATGCTGACAAGTCACTGCTATTTTCTATGCATCAGTTCGTTTCCAAAGTAATTGGTATTGACTGGTTTAATTAAATTCATTAAGTTGAGGAGAGGTCATTTTATAATAATTGATGAAATTTCTTCACTTTTTCTTTCACTTATCATTCTGTTCTTCTATCATTGCAGAATAAAGATTCGTTGTAGAAAGAAGGCAGAGGAATTCAGATGCTCAGAGTTCCTCACAGTGCTTCCAGATGCAGCTGGCTGAGATGTATTGACTTGAAAACCACAACGAAAAAGTGAGTTGCCTGGCCAATTACTATACTTGTGTCCAAGAATCACCAGTTCACACTCATGAATGACAATCCCTGTGATTAGAATCTGACTCTAAGCTATTGCTCATGATATGATGGCTGAAGAGATGTGTTTTGCTTCTCATAGATTCTAAGGGACTCAAGCAGGAATGATTACTGAGTAGTGTGGGAGGTAGTATCTGGCTTCAGTTTACATTCTTTTGTAGATAGGTGGAGGATAAGGCTTATAATTTCATGGCGTTTCAAGTGACAGCATGTGAGCTTGATTTTCTGGCATTTCTAGTGTGTATAACAGAAGTGGCATACTGTTCAAAAATACAGAAGGTGACTCTTAAATTATGCCTTTTCTTTCCCTGAGGATGCTCTGCCTCTTCCATTTCCATCCTCTCCTGCACAAGAACAGTTCTGTGTTCTATACAAAATGCTCCCTTGATATGTGGGAGTTAAAAGTAATATTGGATGTTGTCTAATCTTACAAGGTAAAGATTAAAGCCTTTGTCCATAGTGTTATCAGCATGTGTTTAATATTTGTCATTATGGAGCGAACATTTGTCATTATAGACAAACAGAAATCTGTCAGGAAATCAATTGACTTATAAGATACTTTTCTGTTATTATTTTTCAGGCATTTGAGAGATGAATTCAGAGTGAATTAGGATGGGGAGAGCTCATTACAATTTGTATATATTGCAATAGTGAATGTGACCTTTCTGTCTTTCCTGGTGATGCTTTATCTGTGAGAAGGTGTTTCAACTTACAGTGAAAGATGTAGAATGCATCCTTCTTCACTTTACATCTTCTTTCTCTCCATTGAAATGTGGATTCAGCTTCTTTCTTGTATTTCCATTGCACTACTGTCACTGAAAACAAATTTTACCTCAMCAGTTCTTTTTTACAGTGCTACTGTGCTTCTCTGGTATAAAAGAGTCTGTGAAATTTTCAGCATTCAGCTTTGCATTCAGGTTGAAACTGATTTAAAGCTGCAGTTTTGACCCTTTGGGGTGTCTTTAGAACTAAACTTGTATCAGGCAGATAATGTTTATTTTAGTGCTTTGTTGGGGTGATTTGTTTTTAATTGGATTGTACAGGAGGAGCTTGTTCTTAAGCAATATTGATAATATATCCTAARCAAATGATGCAACAAGTGTATTTTGTACTTATTTCCAAAGAGAAACTGCAGTTAATTATTACATATTTCATATGCTTGTGAAAACCTGAATTGAAAGGAAAATTACATGATTCAAAGTAATACTTTATGTCAATAGAGTAGTTTTGTTAGCAAATGGAGGGACGTGGTTAGCAATGGAGTTTTATGCTGCTGGATCTCATGTATGTATATGGCTGTAAGCATACATCCAAGTATGAACAAGTCATGAAATTCTGGAGATCGAAAAGCAGCTCAAATTATTGACCTTACATGGCTGTTTGAAGGATGCTTTTGATCTTTGAAATGGTGCATGCAGTGACGCTCGAACCTGGATATTAACATATACTTGAATAGTGATTTAGAAATCCTACTTGCTCTTATCCCTTTCATTATTAGAAAGGGAACTTCAGGAGAGGAGTTTAAAAAAAAAAAAAACAGAAAGAAAGCACTTCTAAGTTTCAAAGTTTTAGCTGTGTATCATGAAAGAGTTAACACAGATTCCCTGGAGTGCAACAGCAGGCTGAGTGTGTAGGTGCAATATTATCACAGTTAGAAATTACACGCATTCACAATTAGATTAGTAGCTTATTTACTCAAAATTTATTCATGTTTTGTCTCTGACAGGTATTTCAAAGCTTTGAGACAAAAAAATATTTTTAGGAGATTTAAATTAAGCATGCAGAAATAAAAACCATTTGACTTTGAATCAACTGTCTCAGAGTCAGCACAAAGTGATCTATATGTTTTCCAGAAATTGCAAATAAACACACACAAATAAGTGGAACTAGCATGGTGCATTTTTGTCCAATTTAATTTAACTTTCAAATCCTATCAAATTAACCCCCAGCAGGAAGCATTGTAACAGACTGCAACCTAGTGTCTCTCTGTATTTAATCTGCATCTTCTTCCTCTGTAGTTTGCTTGTACTTAGGTTAATGGAATGTATTTTCATGCAGTTTAAGCATCTAATATTTTTTAGATATGTTTCAGCTGCCTGGGATAATTGCAAGTTCTTCTTTGTATATTACAGTACTAAAGTTATCAAAGAAATAATACAACATATAACAGAACATTTGATGATGTAACCAAAAAGACTAAGGGATACTTTCAAAATAGAAAATATGTTTTTTTATTGAACTCTGAATTAGAAAAGTAATCATGAAACCAGTGGTGCAAGCTATGTGTTTCTGTTCTCTCTTACTATCTGATTGATGAATATATTTCAGCATTTTGTAAAACAGTCCATATGTTTATTACTGTTTGAAAGATGAAATTGACAATATAAAATATCTAACTTATTGTCTTAAATATTGTAGACATATGTAAACATCTAGTTTCTGGTCTACAATATTTATTGTAGACATACATATACCTGAGAGAGAAAGAACTAATAAGCTAACTGAGCTAGTCTAGATTGGCAGTGTGGAAAATATATTAGAACTAAGGGCTAAGTATGTTACCAGGTGATTTGTCACAGATACTATTGTAGCAATGGGCATGTGTTTTCTGTGGAGTTTGTAATAAAGCAATATGCATAATGTATTCAATTCATAAAACGCTACAACCTAATGAAGAGGTGTAAGCTCAATTCTGTTTAGTCTTATGTTACAAAGTATTATGCTGCTGTACTGGATTTGGGAGTTTTTGCTTTCTGCAGGCAAAAGTCTCTTAAATTGTGTAATAAATTTGTAACAAACAAAAGAAGTATTAGGACAGACACAAACAGTGTTTTAACAAATGTGTTGCAGAGTAGGGTTCTTAATGAAATAGCAACAATGATGTGTGACTAGAAGAGAACACATAACAGACTTTTACAAATCATTTTAAAAAGTAAGGATGTTTTCCTGACATAGTGAGCACATGAGGTGTTTGGGCTAGGTGATGTGACAGAAATATTTTCCCCTTCTCATGAATTTGTGAATTTCCATTTTATTATGTAACAGTTAACTAGTCCTTGAAAATCAGAATTAAGCATGCATTTTCTTCTGCTTTGGTTATGTATTAAGTATGTAATGTTACATGACAGTTTTGAATAATTCTAAAATATGGAAAATAAGACTGTCTTACTGACCACTAAGATAAAGTGTGGTTATTGTTGTATGGAAATGATGCTTCTTACTGACATATATAAAAATGAGTTTTAAAAAATGAAAGGGTAATCAAAAGAAAGATGACTCTGAAAGGAGAACRCAGTTCAAAAAAGCTCTCAGCAATAAAAACTGTCTGATAAGTGCTTTAGGAAGTTCAGTAGTATCAAGTGTCCTCATAAGAGAACATAGGACTGCAGATAGAATAATATCATTCATCATTTAATGTCTGAATCATTTATTGCTGACTAAAGAGAAATACATATCAAAGGACTCGATCCATTATTATATATGATTCACAAAATCCAGACATTATTACACAAATGCGCCATTAATTTACAAGGTAGTAGCTTGTGTCAAAATGTGTTTGAATAAGTATTTAAAATTCTTTTGACTGTAATTGTGATTTTTTTTCAAAGTATTTACAGCACCCACACTCAAACACCTTTGGAGATGTTATCAGGAATTCTGTAGTCTACCTGGCATGCTAGCGGTTGGAACCCTGTCTGCACTTACCTATGTATTTGTGTGTCTGCTATGGAATGAAAAATACACAATCTAATGCAACTTTTTTTACCCTTAGATTTTTTACTGCCTTTATATACAGAGCTTTAGACTGTAAGATACATATATGCAAAGATTTTTAGTATGTTCCCCCCCCCCCCCCCCCCCAAAAAAAAAAAAAAATCACAGGTACATCTGTATTTAATGGTCTCTAACCATTTTCCCATTGGCCATGCAGGTGGCCTCCGTCACTATATTTCTATTCTTGGAGATAGTAAAAAGCTTCTGGACATAATCTTTGCCATCCTGCTCTAGGTAACCCTGCTTGAGTAGTGGGCTGTAGGGGGACCTGGATGATCTCCAGGGGTCCCTTCCAACCTCAATTATTCTTTTATTCTGTAAGTGGGACTTGCAGACACTGGAACATGCTTAGCAATTTGCTGAAGCAGAAGTTTGTGTATTGCTCTCCTACTGTTCTTGGAATTCACCTGTTTATGCTTCAGCATGACAATATGAAACAAGCCGACATAACCACTTTTTCTTTTATCTTGTCTCTGGGACAAATTAATCAGCCTTTCATGAAGTGAGACTTTCACTGTTCTCAGTGGGATTTCTGTGATGAAGGACTGTTGCATCTAGCAATTTGGGTTTTTACATCTTGCACTTCCTGTGCCTGAGTATTGACAAATGCAGTACTCTAACACCTTATTTATTTTTTATTGAAAGCAGAAGCTTTCTTTCCCTCCCTCTTCTCAGTTCTTGTTGATGTCAGACAAATTTACATGGATGATTACTCCCTTAGCATGCTTATCCATCATCATAACTGTGAGATATCACCATCAGTGTAAACCAAAAGAAAAGAAATTGCTTAAATTCTGCTATTTATTTAAAGGACACATTAACCTTCAAAATGTGATTTATTCTTTATTTACACATCTTTGGACACTTTCAATATTTTTATATAAACTGTGCCCATGAAGCAGGTGACTTCACATTAATGCTGATGCCTTGTTTTTCTAAATACCCAAATCTTATTGATGCTGTCTCAAGCTTGCTCTGTGTTTTAAGAAGTTCAGCCAAAGCACGGGTCTCTTCATTCAGTTGTGAACATATTTAAAATACATTTTGTGAGTGAGAACTCATCGGAAACTACGAACCATTTATTTCACTGGATAATTTTTTTTCTGTTTGCTAAGTTGCTTTGGGCTTTTTAAAATTTTTTTCTCCTTCTGCACAGAGTCACTTGTGTTAAATTTTAAGTAACTCATCTGAGAAGGACTCTGCCTGCAGGGTAGTATTGGCAGACAGTATAGAGCAGATTCCTGTTTCATTCATGCAGTACAGGGTCACTAGAGCACCAGTCTGTGCATAAATTGCTTAATCTGAGCATCACTATTCCAGAAATTCTCCATATTGTTCCCTTCCTCCTCCTCCCTTTCCCCACTCTCAACATAATATGACACTGTGTAATTCCTTGGAGTCAGCTGTCATCTCYTTATTGTTCATGTAGCTTCAAGTGTGTCTCTACATAAGACTGACACTTTGCTATGGGATACAAATACCCTTCAGAACTTTTTTGAAGCCAATCAGTATGATAGCTATGCATGCTCAGATGAGCGCTCTTGATCTTCTTGTTGTCTGAGTGTGAAACTTCCAGGATGAATAGGTCCTTTCATGATGCTGAGATTAGTTTCCATTTAGCTCTTAGATACCTAAGTGGTATCTAAGCAAACAGACAAAGATGAATGCAGCTAAACAGTGCCCTTGAGACTTTTTTTTTAATGTTTATGAAATTCAGAGAAGTCCTAATGGTAGGAGTTTCAAAAGAATTTTAAGTCCCATTTGAGACTTTGAGAAATATCCCATCTATCTTCAACCATTACAGTAATTCTTAAATAACATGTTCCTCCCTCACTTCCTCGAGGCAGTCAGTAACAGAACAGTTGAAAATACAGTAGAGTTTCAAACATTATGATATTATCACAAGCTGACCCAATTGCTGCTGATTGCAGCAAGGAAACGTTTAAAAGCTCTTCTGGCATCCTCTTCACAAGTAATTTTACAGATATGCTGCCCTCCATTAACTAGCAAACAAGGCTGGTGAAAAAAATTTACTTGGACTTTACTTGGATTTTACTTGGTGACTACTTTCAGGCATCTATTCTTTCTTCCACGGTAAGGTTGAAACAAAACACTCAATGTTTTCATGTAACTGAAAATAAATTACTTGAAAAATCAGGTTTTCAAATTAGGTCTCCTCTTTGTATGGAATGAGAGAAAAAGAAAAAAAGAAGAATCCACTGAGAACTAGTTAAATTGATCAGACTTCATGGAGCTTTTCTGCTTGGTTGAGAAAGCATTATTCCATTTAAAAACATGTAGCTGAAGCCATTTTGCATAACTCTTTAATCCCTCTCCCACTATCTAATCACTTTACCAGCTATTTGAATATGTCATTTTTAGTAGTCTTTATAGAAAATATGAGGAAAAGAGTCTTACGAAAGAAAAAGCCCAAACTAAGCAAAATGGGGGACTGGATTCAAAATGAAGACTTGAACAAGCATTAAAGAGTTTAACTACTCTGTGTCCTATCCCTAATAAGTCTATAATAAGTCTAAGCTTTTTCCAAAATCAGAGATAAATGTATACCTTTATGAAGGATACTCACACAAGCCAGTGCACAAAGCAAATGAGCAACACTGAGCTCTTTTTTACAAGGAATTCACAATCCACCTAATGTGAGTTCATTT